CCCATCGCCTCTCCCTCCTGGATGTGCCCACTGGTACGAGGCCACTGAGAGTCAGACGTCTCCAGGGAGTCAATAGATACGTGCGGCAAGAAGGCATAAGCACACACAGAGACCCAGAGACTTACATAGAGAGCCATAGGCTAACACAGAGATACATACAGTTAGCACGAGACCCAGAGACTTACACAGATACCCATACACTTACATAGAGACCCATAGACTTACACAGAGACCCATAGACTTACATAGAGAGCCATAGGCTAACACAGAGACCCATACACTTACCACAGAGACCCAGAGACTTACATAGATACCCATACACTTACATAGAGACCCATAGACTTACACGGACACCCATAGACTTACACAGAGATCCATAGACTTACATAGAGAGCCATAGGCTAACACAGATACCCATACAGTTAGCACAGAGACCCAGAGACTTACACAGATACCCATACACTTACATAGAGACCCATATACTTACACAGAGACCCATAGACTTACATAGAGAGCCATAGGCTAACACAGAGACCCATACACTTACCACAGAGACCCAGAGACTTACATAGATACCCATACACTTACATAGAGACCCATAGACTTACACGAAGACCCATAGACTTACACAGAGACCCATAGATTTACATAGAGAGCCATAGGCTAACACAGAGACCCATACACTTACCACAGAGACCCAGAGACTTACATAGATACCCATACACTTACATAGAGACCCATAGACTTACACAGGGACCCATATACTTACACAGAGACCCATAGACTTACATAGAGAGCCATAGGCTAACACAGAGACCCATACACTTACCACAGAGACCCAGACACTTACATAGATACCCATACACTTACATAGAGACCCATAGACTTACACGGAGACCCATAGACTTACACAGAGACCCATAGACTTACATAGAGAGCCATAGGCTAACACAGAGACCCATACACTTACCACAGAGACCCAGACACTTACATAGATACCCATACACTTACATAGAAACCCATAGACTTACACGGAGACCCATAGGCTTGCACAGAGAGCTGTAGACTTAGACAGAGATCCATAGACTTCCATAGAGACATAGATAACTCTGGACGTAGACAGGGACCCACAGGCTTACACAGAGACCAATAGACTTACATAGAGACATCAAGACCATAAGACATAGACAAAGACCCACAGGCTTACACAGAGACCAATAGACTTACATAGAGACATCAAGACCATAAGACATAGACAAAGACCCACAGGCTTACACAGAGACCAATAGACTTACATAGAGACATCAAGACCATAAGAAATAGACAAAGACCCACAGGCTTACACAGAGACCAATAGACTTACATAGAGACATCAAGACCATAAGACATAGACAAAGACCCACATGCTTACACAGAGACCAATAGACGTACATAGAGACATCAAGACCTTAAGACATAGACATAGACCCACAGGCTTACACAGAGACCAATAGCCTTACATAGAGACCCATATGCGAAGTGGGGGGAGGGGGGGGGCTGAAAAATCAAACATCACTCGCCACTGATGAGTGATGTTAGCCGTGGGCGGGTTTGTCTGATGCGCTAAGCACTGCGCCACCGCTCCAAACAAATGCATCTCTAACGCGAGCGTTGTTAATCGAAGTTGACAATACAACGGAATTCGCTCGCCGACCACTGCGAGCCATTTGGGCGTGGAACGCTTTTGGGGGGGGGAAGAGAAAGTAAACACGTGAAACTCATTTGGAGGGCCATTGCGTGATTAGAATATTACAGCGGCTTAGTTTATCGATCGCCACGTGATGATTAATCGGTGGCCGTTCGCTCCGAAGTGGAATTCTTGACGCGGTCGGCCGAATTGTTGTAACGTTTTGACCCCTCCCATACTGGACATCTGTGACAAAGAGCTTTACAGCTAATCGGATTACTCCTGCAGTAAACTTAAATGTGTTGATGTATTCTGATTGTTCTCCGTTGAGTTGTTGGGGGGGGAGGTTCAATAAGCTCCGCTTTTTATGTCATTATTTATTCATAGGCAGTCCTGCGGCAAAGATTGACGGCGTTCAGGTGCTGGACGTACCCCGCCCACGCACACCGCATGTACCTCACACAGTCGTGCATCACGTTTGGGTTTGGGGATCGATAATCGGGCTGTGAGACAGGCCACATACCCAGCCAGCTATCCAGTCGGATAGCTAGACATAGAGACAGCCAGCTGGGCAGTCGGATAGCTAGACATAGAGACAGCCAGCTGGGTAGTCAGATAGCTAGACATAGAGACAGCCAGCTGGGCAGTCGAATAGGTAGACATAGAGACAGCCAGCTGGGTAGTCAGATAGCTAGACATAGAGACAGCCAGCTGGGCAGTCGGATAGCTAGACATAGAGACAGCCAGCTGCGTAGTCAGATAGCTAGACATAGAGACAGCCAGCTGGGTAGTAGCATAGCTAGACATAGAGACAGCCAGCTGGGCAGTAGGATAGCTAGACATAGAGACAGCCAGCTGGGTAGTCAGATAGCTAGACATAGAGACAGTCAGCTGGGTAGTCAGATAGCTAGACATAGAGACAGCCAGCTGGGTAGTCAGATAGCTAGACTTAGAGACAGTCAGCTGGGTAGTAGGATAGCTAGACATAGAGACAGCCAGCTGGGTAGTCAGATAGCTAGACTTAGAGACAGCCAGCTGGGCAGTAGGATAGCTAGACATAGAGACAGCCAGCTGGGCAGTAGGATAGCTAGACATAGAGACAGCCAGCTGGGCAATAGGATAGCTAGACATAGAGACAGTCAACTGAGTAGTCAGATAGCTATACATAGAGATAGCCAGCTGGGCAGTCGGATAGCTAGACATAGATACAGCTAGCTGGGTAGTCAGATAGCTAGACATAGAGACAGCCAGCTGGGTAGTCGGATAGCTAGACATAGAGACAGCCAGCTGGGTAGTCGGATAGCTAGACAAAGAGACAGACAGCTGGGCAGTAGGATAGCTAGACATAGAGACAGCCAGCTGGGTAGTCAGATAGCTAGATATAGAGACAGCCAGCTGGGTAGTCAGATAGCTAGACATAGAGACAGACAGCTGGGCAGTAGGATAGCTAGACATAGAGATAGTCAGCTGGGTAGTCAGATAGCTAGACATAGAGACAGCCAGCTGGGTAGTCAGATAGCTAGACATAGAGATAGTCAGCTGGGTAGTCAGATAGCTAGACATAGAGACAGCCAGCTGGGTAGTCAGATAGCTAGACATAGAGATAGCCAGCTGGGCAGTCGGATAGCTAGACATAGAGACAGCCAGCTGGGTAATCAGATAGCTAGACATAGAGACAGCCAGCTGGGCAGTAGGATAGCTAGACATAGAGACAACCAGCTGGGCAGTAGGATAGCTAGACATAGAGACAGCCAGCTGGGCAATAGGATAGCTAGACATAGAGACAGCCAGCTGGGCAGTAGGATAGCTAGACATAGAGACAGCCAGCTGGGTAGTCAGATAGCTAGATATAGAGACAGCCAGCTGGGTAGTCAGATAGCTAGATATAGGGACAGCCAGCTAAGTAGTAGCATAGCTAGACATAGAGACAGCCAGCTGGGCAGTAGCATAGCTAGACCTAGAGACAGCCAACTGGGTAGTCAGATAGCTAGACATAGAGACAGCCAGCTGGGTAGTCAGATAGCTAGACATAGAGACAGCCAGCTGAGTAGTCAGATAGCTAGATATAGAGACAGCCAGCTGGGTAGTCAGATAGCTAGACTTAGAGACAGCCAGCTGGGTAGTAGGATAGCTAGACATAGAGACAGCCAGCTAGGCAGTCGGATAGCTGGACATAGAGACAGCCAGCTGCATAGTCAGATAGCTAGACATAGAGACAGCCAGCTGGGTAGTCAGATAGCTAGACATAGAGACAGCCAGCTGGGCAGTAAAATAGCTAAACATAGAGACAGCCAGCTGGGCAATAGGATAGCTAGACATAGAGACAGCCAGCTGGGTAGTCAGATAGCTAGACATAGAGACAGCCAGCTGGGCAGTAGGATAGCTAGACATAGAGACAGCCAGCTGGGCAGTAGCATAGCTAGACATAGAGACAGTCAGCTGGGCAGTAGGATAGCTAGACATAGAGACAGCCAGCTGGGTAGTCAGATAGCTAAACATAGAGACAGCCAGCTGGGCAGTAGGATAGCTAGACATAGAGACAGTCAACTGGGCAGTAGGATAGCTAGACATAGAGACAGCCAGCTATCCAGTAAGATAGCTAGACATAGAGTCAGCCAGCTGGGCAGTCGGATAGCTAGACATAGAGACAGTCAACTAAGTAGTCGGATAGCTAGACATAGAGACAGCCAGCTTGGCAGTAGGATAGCTAGATATAAAGCTAGCCAGCTGGGCAGTCAGATAGCTAGACATAGAGACAGCCAACTGGGTAGTCAGATAGCTAGATATAGAGACAGCTAGCTAGCCAGTCAGCTAACTAGAAGTATAGCTAACCAGCAAGCCAATCGGCTAGCTAGACCCATCTCCAGCGCACTAGCACATAGCCAGCCAGCGGGCTAGTCAAGCAGCCATGTAGTGCTCCAGCTAGATATTCAACCAGCCAGCTAACTAGTTAACCAGCCAGTGAGCCAGCCCACTATCCAGCCAGCCAGCTATTTAGCCAGTTAATCAGTCAGGCGACTGATGGTTCAGCTAGCCTTCCAGTTGGCCACCGAGCAAGTCAAACTTGAAAACGCCAGCCGACCAGCCAATCAGACTAGTCAACAAGCCAGCCATCCAGCCATCAAAATAACCCTCTCACTCAGCCAGCTATATACAAAGCCGCCCTAGCAGCGAAGCACGCACTCACTCGCGCATCCTCCCACCAACAAAATCTTACACCCACTCGGCCATCATATCCACCCACACACCCACGCAGACACCCAGCCATCCGGCGAGCGAGCCACGCACCCCATCCTCTCGCTCCTCTCCGCTCCCTCCCACCCTCCTCTCTCCATATCCTCTCTCCCCCATCTATTCTCCCCCTCTCCTCCCCCTCTCGCATCTCTCTCTCCCTCTCCGCTACACTCGCTCACGCCGCTCATCATTACTCGCCTTTCAGACGCCGAGAAGAGGCAGCGTCTGTCGGTCACGGGAAGACGTTCAGCCGAGAAGAGCCGGGCGGTTCTCCAGCCGTACTCCTGCCCATCGCTACCCACCCTCCCACCCGTATACCTACCAGGCTGACCGTATTCCTACCATGCTGCCCGTGTACCTGCTCGCCTGCCCACCCACCTGCTGCTCGCCTGCTCAACTATCTTAACAACAACCTTCCCATTTCACCCAACTACTCAGAACACCTACCCAGCCAGCTCGCCCAACTACCAGCCCATCCACCTGCCCACCTTGCCCGCCCATCCATCCACCTACCTGCCCACCTGTCTGCCCACCTACCTGCCCACCTGTCTGCCCACCAACCTGTCCACCTGTCTGCCCACCTACCTGCCCACCTGTCTGCCCACCTACCTGCCCACCTGTCTGCCCACCAACCTGCCCACCTACCTGCCCACCTACCTGCCCACCTACCTGCCCACCTGTCTGCCCACCTCTCTGTCCGCCCGCTCAACCGGCAGCCCAGCTCAGTGTCCTCCCGTCCAACTAATTAATCCACCCGTAAAACTACCTGCCCAACTACCCGTGCCCATCCACCTAGGACTGCCGTTCACTCAACTACCTGCCCACCTGCCCGTCCACCTGCCCGCCCCGTCACAGAGGCGTGAAGGCGACGCCACCGAACGGGAGGAGAGCGACTCGAGGGGGGAGACCAACCGATTCGGGATCCTTCTCCACGGCGAGCTGCGCGTTATTGGTATGGCGTGCACGTGTGTGCGTGGGCATTGTGGGGACGCGTGTGTGCGGGTGCGTGTCGTGTATGAGAGTTGTGGGTGTGCGTGTGGCTGTGAATACGCAGCTGGTAGCACGCTGCGCTACGAACCCGGCGACTCCGAGTTCGATTCCGTGACCGATTATTTGAACCGGTCATGGGCCACGCCTAGGTCGACTCAGCCTCAAATTAGTACCTGGTGCGGTGTTTAAACATTGCCACTAGGGAGACAAAGACGGCCGGGCGTGGTGCTGGCCACCCACCCCCTCGTGTACCGTGCTGGCCTTCATAGGTGCTCGCTAACAGCACTTGCCCCAAAAGTCTGCTAACAGCTATCCGGGGTGTCTTTGTCTTTATGTGTTAATATGTCTTTGTATGACGTGCACGTGTGTGCGTGGGCACGTGTGGTTATGTGTGTGGGTGCGTGGGTGTATACTTGGATATGTGTGTGTGTGTAATATATGAAAGTATGTGGTGGTGTGTGTGTGGGTGTGTGAAAAGGTATTGGTATTGCGTGCACGTGTGCGTGAGCTCATTGTGGTTGTGTGTGGGTGGGCGTGTGGGCATGCGTGACGATGTGTGAGTGTGGATGTGTGTGGATGTATGTGTTGTGAGTGTGGGTGTGCGTGTGGGGAGCGGCAGCTTCTGTTCGGTGGGATAAAGAGGGGGCTAATCAGGCGCAGCACGGACTGGGGAGAAGAGATAGACTGATGCGGAACAGAAGGATGTGGAGCTGATTTGACTTGCCGATTAATGGTAGCAGCAGTGTCAAGATCGGCCTCTGTGAAGGAGGATCGTGAATTACGCTCCTTAGCAGTTGGAGGCAGTCGCCCTCCAGCCACAACGGAGGGCTGAGGAGCGACGCTCACAACAACGAGCAGAGCGCAGGACGGCTACGGCGCAGAGAATTGGCACATTGCGGGGCACAGGTGGTGCATCTGTCAGTCATCTCAGACAGTTATCCCATGGCATCTGTGTCTGTCCCGTGACCTTCTGCGAGCGAGCTTTCGACAGTTCACGTGGCCTCAAAGTGCACTTAGCCTGCGACAAGCGTCATGGTGACGTTACGTCCACTTCGTGGTGGACGGCACTTGCTCTTATGTGGTTATGTGTGAGTGTGTATGGGTATAGGTGGTCATGTTATTGTGTATGTGAGTGCGTGTGAATATGTGGCTATACGTGTATGTGGTTATATCTGAGTGTGTGTGTGATCGTCTGTATGGATGGGGTGGTAGTGGAGCGCTTAGCGCGCTGCGCTACGAACCCGGCGACCCGAGTTCGAATCCCGCGCACGGCCAACATCGGTGACGATCATCTGAACCGATCCTAGGTCTCTCCTAGGTTGACTCAGCCTCAAACAAGTCCCTGGTGTGGTGTGTAAAACATCAGTACTGCGGAGACAAAGGCGGTCAGGCGTGGTGCTCCCCATACCATCCCCTCGAGTGCCGTGCCAACAGCACTTGCCCCAACAGTTTGTTAAAGGCCATACGGGGTGGGGGAGTCTTTGTATATATGGGCGATATCGAGTGCGTGTGTGGCAGGCTGATATAGCGTGCGTGTGCAAATGAGAGATTGTGTGCGCGCGCGTGAGAGAGAGAGTTTGTTTGTTAGTGGGGAATCGTCGTGCGGTTAGCGCGCTGCATTACAAACCTGGCGAACCGGGTTCAACTCGCGCTCATGGCCAACACCGATGACGATTATCTGAACCGCTCCTGAGCCTCCCCGAGGCCGACTCAGACTCTAATGAGTACCTGGTGAGATGTGTAAACATTGCCACTAGGAATACAAAGTCGGCCGGGCGTGGTGTTGGCTACCCATCCCTTCGTGCGCCGTGCCGGCTTTCATAGGAGCTCGCTAACAGCACTTGCCCCTACTGTTCAGGCTATACGGGGGATCTTTGTCTTTCTGTCTTTGTTAGTGGGGAGCCGCAGTGCAGCGGTTAGCGCGCCGCGCGACGAACCTGGCGACCCCGAGTTCGATTCCCGCCCAAGGCCAACACCACTGACGATTATCTGAACCGGTTCTGGAGCTACCCTAGGTCGACTCGGCCCCAAATTAGTACTTTTAAACATCGCCACTAGGGAGACAAAGGCTTTGTTCGCGGGGAGCGGTAGTGTAATTTAAGCCACGGCCCGTTGGGGAGGGCTTCATCGAGCAGTGGAGCCATCACCGTCGTCATCTGGGGAAGGCGGGGGAGGAGGCGCAGGGATTAGAGCTCACAAGTCTAATCTCTGTCGGGGGTGCACTTGAAAAGTAATCCTTCTCTAATATCAATTAATAATACATTGTATAATGGTATAAACGACATGTAAATCTTATATTAATATTGATACAGTGATGCAATTCTGGGCCGGTGGTTATTATTCACGACTGTGAATGCGGTGCTCTTATTCACTTTACCGGGGAATTTAAGCCCCGCGGGTGAGATCGCCGCCAAGTAAAACGTCTCGTACAACCGTCCTCCACCCGACACAGCCAATCCGTGAGGTTTGTCACGTGAGCAGAAGGTGGCAGTGGGTCGCTGCTTCAGCACCACCGCTGTGCTGGAGAACAAAACCACGACGCACAACATTCTGTCCCTGGAATTGCCATCCAGAGAAGTCGCCGAGTTCGATCTCTGGGCGCGGCAGTCGCAACAGTGGGCGAGACGATGACAACAGCCCCCACCCTACCGCTCCCCCCCCCCACCCTCTCCACCGCCTAGCTCCACCCAGCAGTAAACACAGCCAATTAATAAGGTCTGTCGAGTGCCGATAAGTTACTACTCAATGGGCTCTGCCGCAGTAAGTCTATTGCCAGGTGGTCGCGTGCGGTGGGAGTGAAGTGTGGGTAGCTCCCACCCGTTTCAAGACGCTCTGCCACCAGCGCTGGAAGAGTCAGCCGAGTAGCCTCGAAGGAGCGAGCGTGTCTCTCGATCGCTTCCCTTCCCCCCCCCCCCCCCCCCGGGCATTGGCGCGAGCAAAGAAATTGCAGGGCTGCGCCTATACCTTCGTCAGCTTAAGATTTTCAATTTAAAAAGAAATTGCAACGTTATTACTTTTTTCATTTCGTTTCAGCAACTCTTTGTCGCCTTTAGAGCATTATGGAAAAATACGCTTGGCGGAGCCCATTATATGCGCGTGTCTCGGTAAACTGCAGCAGTAAGCGAGTTACGTAGCTGTATAATTTATTAGCGCGTGTTCAAAGTTAAAAGTCAAACGTTCATTATATATATTCTTGGTTCTTTCGGTAAAGTCACGTTGAAGGGAAACAATACAATAATAAAATATGAGAATTGTATTTTTTATATATATTTTATTATTTTATTGTTTCCCTTCAACGTGACTTTACCGAAAGAACCAAGAATATGAATTACTGCAGTCACGAAAGCTTTAAATCAAAATTTTGTTCATTATATAGTTTTACAGTCTTCGCAAACAATATATATTATGGATTGAACAATGGTTTTTATTCCCAGCAACCATTTAACGTTGGGTCAACGTTGCATCAACGGTTCCAACCGATTGCCAACACTGGCAGACAGTTGCCACGTTTACACGGTAGTCATTTATATTTGCAAGACCACAGATCTATTCAGAGTTCACGTGGCACCAATGATCTGCAGTGCTACTTCGAGCATCTGGATGGCGATGGCGTTAAACATTAACACAACTACAATCATCTGATTGGCTGGCATGGTGATCAATAGCTCTACTTCGAGCATCTGATCGGCTGTCGTGTCGAACACCACGAACTACCACGAGCATCATCTGATTGTCCAATCACATCCTCGTAACGTTTCCTCCCCCCTCCTCTGTCGTCATCATCGTCGTCATCGCCGTCGTCATTGTGACGTTGCACAGGCAGTGCCCGCCATGAGCGTGTGCAGCAGAGGCAGCGGCCGCCGGCGCAGCAGCAGCAGCAGCAGCAGCGTCAAGAACGTCAACGGCGCCGTCGACGCGGGCAGCGACGCGGGCGGTGACGGCGGCGGGAACCCCTCGGCCGAGCCGTCCGTGTGCAGCGAGGCGTTCCCCCGCTCCGCCTACCGCGACGTCTGCCTCAACATCGGCGGCGTCCGCTTCAGCCTCGACGGCGACCTTCTCTACCGCTTCGCCGACACGCGGCTAGCGCAGCTGTCGCGCTCGACGGACGCCGACGAGCGGCGGCGGCTGTGCGACGACTTCGACCCGCGCGCAAACGGCAACGAGTTCTACTTCGACCGCGACCCCGAGGTGTTCCGCACCATCATAGACCTCTTCTACGACGGGGAGATCCACATGAACAAGGGCGTGTGCCCGCTCTGCTTCAAGGGCGAGCTCGAGTTCTGGAAGATCGACGCCGCCTTCCTCGACGACTGCTGCAAGAGCTCCTGCGTCGAGAAGGAGGAGGAGCTCGACGAGATCGCGCGCCGGGTCCAGCTCATCCTCGAGGACCAGGGCCACGCGGGCGAGAGCGCCGCCACGCGCGTCCGCAAGGGCCTCTGGATGCTCATGGAGAAGCCCTACTCGTCGCTGCTGGCGCGCCTGCTCGCCATCGTGTCGTTCGCCCTCGTCGTCATCTCATCGGTGGTGCTCTGCCTCAGCACCATCCCCGAGATGCAGACGGTGGACGCCGCCGGGCGCCACGTGGAGCACCCGACGCTCAACGTCATCGAGACGGTGTGCATCGTGTGGTTCACCCTCGAGTACCTGCTGCGCCTGCTCGCCGCGCCGCACAAGCTGCGCTTCGCAGTCTCCTTCATGAACGTCATCGACGTGCTCGCCGTGATGCCCTACTACATCGGCATGGCGCTCACGGACTTGGGCGAGGACGCCAACGGCCTCTCCAACATGCAGCAGGCCATCCAGGCGCTGCGCATAATGCGCATCGCTCGCATCTTCAAGCTCGCGCGCCACTCGAGTGGCCTGCAGATGCTCACGTACGCGCTCAAGGGCAGTTTCCGCGAGCTCAACATGCTGCTCTTCTACCTGGCCGTGGGCATCTTCCTCTTCTCGGCGCTGGGCTACACGGTGGAGCAGTACCACCCGGAGACGCTGTTCACCAGCATTCCGCACTCATTCTGGTGGGCCATCATCACCATGACCACGGTGGGCTACGGCGACATCTACCCCAAGACCAACCTCGGCAAGCTGAACGCCGCCATCAGCTTCCTGTGCGGGATCCTGGCCATAGCTCTGCCCATCCACCCCATCATCAACAACTTTGTGCGCTACTACAACAAGCAGAGGGTGCTGGACACGGCCGTCAAGCATCAGCTGGACCGCATGGCTATGGGGGATCTGCTCAACTTTCCAGATAACATGAACGCGGTGGGAGAGTGCGGCGGTGGTGTTGGTGGTGGTGGTGGTGCTGGTGGTGGTTCTGTACGTGGTAAATTGGTGAGCAAAGTTCACTCGTCCACCCCGCTGCTCAAACCGTCTCAGCACCAGCGATCCGTGAACCGCAACGTGTGTTGAGATGTCACGTGGGGATCATGGACAAGGTCTGATCGGCTGTCTCTCAGTCTCTCTCTAGCTGTTCATCTCTCTCTCTACCTATCTCTCTCTCGTTTATCTTCCGACACGTCCGTCACACTTCACCGATGAATGTTCTTCGCTACGGCGAGACGGATACATGTCTGCTGTCCGAATCAGAGGCTCCAAGGTACTGGACGTGCCAAAGTAAAATATATCACGATCCACAGCAGCAGCAGCAGCGAGATCGTCACGACCGCTGAGGATATCCACCGACTGTCACGCGAGTGTCGTGATTTGAAGCGCCACTCGGCAGTTTGGAGATCATGCTCTTGGGCGGTAGAATCTATTTTCTGTTGGTATTTATTATTAATAATGTTACTTTTTTTCCAGGGGATGGGGGCGTATTTGTATTTATGATAGCTGTGTAATTACAACAACGACGACCATGATGAATACGATGACGATGCTTGATTATGATGTCCCTCGCGGTTCGGAGGGCGATGTACGTTGGACTTCTTTGGCACCGTACGTAGACAACCGTGCGAATCGGTGGGTGCGGGTGATGCACGCCGCCGGTGGCTTTTGAGGTGGCCGAGCTGTCCAATTGTAGAACCGCAGAGCTTTGAGTAGTGGAGGGGGGGGGCACGCGGTTCCAGGTGGAAGTTGAATCCGCAGTGCCGGGTTGGCTTGCTCGTGCTCATCACCTGCTGATGTACGGCCTACAGCGGCCAATCAGAGAACGCGTCAGAGGGAGGGGGAGAGGGGCGTGGCTTCATCCATCAGTGGATCGACAATGACTGCCGGTGGTGATGGTGTTGATGTGGCCGGATGGCACGGCACGATATTGAGAGCGCACGAGCCGATTTGGCAAGCTCAAATGCCAGAATCAGCAGAGTATCTCTCTCACACACACACACAAGTGTTAAACACCTTTTTGTTTTGATCGCATTTGTATACTCTGTATGATTAGTCATCTTCTGAGGTTTTAGTCACGCGATGTTTATGATATCGTGCGAGTGGAATTCATTGACCGGCGGTGATAGTTGTGCGTGTTCGTGTGTGTGCGCGTGTATGTATATATATGGAGCGGGGGGAGGTGGTGGCGCAGTTGTTAGCGCACTAAGGTACGAACCAACTGCGCGACCAATAGCAATTGGCCCATAAACTGAACACCGGTCTTGGGCATCCTCTAGGTCGACTCAACCTTAAGACATTAGAGTAGCCCCACGCGGTGTGTCGCAAACATCGGGAGCGGGGAGACAGCAGCGGCCGGGCGTGGTGTTGGCCACCCTAACCCCTCGTGTGACGTTCCGGCCATCCATAGGTGCTGCTCGCTAAAAGCACTTGCCCCAACAGCCTGTTAAAATATATAGAGGGCAGGGGCGTTGTCATTTTACATATCAACAGCGCAAATGGCAATCGAACACACAAACAATTGTACTAATCCGTGAAGACAATTAAGGAACACAACACCAACAGCACAACCGATATAACTTTGTTCGAATGTTTGTGCAGCTGTGAATGGGACTCCTCTCTCGCTCCACTGGCAGCCCACCCACCCCCTGCCTGGCTCTCGCCTCCCTCTCGATGTCGCGCTGTGTGCTCTCCCTCGCACTCTCCCACCCGTCTATCCACTCTCTCTCTCTCTCTCCCGAGCCGCTCCGGTCACCCCCCCCCCCCGTCTCTCATCTCGCCGGGCCCGTAGCACAAACCGCTCTACCTCATTCCACTGCTCGCCACGTGCTGCCGTAATTCTGGAACACCTCCTCCTCTCACCCCCATATCCTCCTACCCCCTCCTCCTCCTCCTCCCTTCTGCTCTACCCCCCTCCTTCCTCCTCCCTCCTCCTCCCTCCTCCTCCTCCCCCCTCCTCCTCCCCCCTCCTCCTCCCTCCTCCTCCTCCCTCCTCCTCCCCCCTCCTCCCTCCCCCCCCCTCCCCCCTCCCCCCATCTTCCTGCTCCACTGCTAACTTCTGCAACTCATTATCCTGCTGCAATTTCTCGACCCCGCCCCCCCCACCCCGTACTGCTAAACTCCGTAACTCATGGCGCCTCCCGTGTCTTCCGACTTGATCAAAAGTCTCCGCTTCTTTCTTTCTTTGTGTTTGTCACGGCATCGTTGCGTTACGACGGCGTCTCACGGCAATCGCTCACCGAATGATCGGGACGCGTGTTGTGACGCCGCTTCCAGGATCAGCTTTCAAATAAAAGTTCGACGACACAAGCGCGAACATCCTCCCTGTGCGTATCCTTTACACCGTTAACGATCATAATGCTTATCATCATAATCACGACGATTGTCGGATGCACACTCCCGTCATCACATCGCAGAAACATCCCCAGGGGTCTGATCTTCCCACCGAAGCTCACGGTCCACCCTAAGTCGAATGCCACTGCACAGACCGTGGCAGCAGATGCGGACACCAGATGCACAAATGGAAAATTAAAAACCCTCGAGTAGTAGTGGTGCGACTGTGGTCATCCAGAGCAGACCGCGGTGCAACGTGTAACGACGCAATCATGCCCCGATCCACAACTACGAAGACGGAGACATCACAGCGACACCACTCCACTGCTCCCGTTCACGCGGTTATCTGGGCTTGGCCGCCTTCAATGTGACATTGAAGTCGTTGCTCTGCATCGACATCAGCAGCCGTACGGAAGAAGAGGATAACACAATGCTGCATATTATATCGTAACAAAATATCATGACATTATTTCCTAACAATCGTCGTCGTAGTCATCATCATCATCATCAATCACGATCTGTCCACAGCTTGATGAAAGTGGCTATCTAACGGTCTAGCGATCCAACAATACGTCTGGCTCCAGCACACGAACCGATTTCACAGCAAGATGTTACTTTGACTTTGGGTACGATCGGTATAATGTTTGACCTGTGGCGAAACGATCAGTACACATTACTGCCGTCGCAAACAGCTCGCATGCATCATGAACACAACCACCGATTAGTACTGTTGGCTAAGTACGGTGGGAACAAATGTCAACGTACAATTACTATTTACTATTTTATTACATTTTGCCAGGTGAGGCCCACTGAGCTATGCAGCTCGTTTTCAGAAGCGGTGGTGGTGGTGGTGGTGAAACAAAACCGATATCTCAAAGAAATTGGCTCATCACCGTGTGGAAATTTATAGTGGCCAAATACTCTTAACGCGTGTTAGTGATTCTCAATGTCGAGGGGAAACATCCACGCGACCACGGAGGGTGGGAGACACGCAAACTCCAAATATACAGCAGCAGGCGTCAGGGTTGAGATCGAACCCACGACCTCCTGTATACCAGGCGAGGTAGTTAACATCTCACCACGTGGAGAGAGACACGCAAACTCCAAATATACAGCAGCAGGCGTCAGGGTTGAGATCGAACCCACGGCCTCCTGTATACCAGGCGATGTAGTTAACATCTCACCACGTGGAGAGAGACACGCAAACTCCAAATATACAGCAGGCGTCAGGGTCGGGATCGACCTCACGACCTCCTGTATACCAGGCGAAGTAGTTAACATCTCACCACGTGGAGAGAGAGACATGCAAACTCTAAATATACAGCAGGCGTCAGGGTCGGGATCGACCTCACGACCTCCTGTATACCTAGCGAGGTAGTTAACATCTCACCACGTGGAGAGAGACACGCAAACTCCAAATATACAGTAGGCGTCAGGGTCGGGATCGACCTCACGACCTCCTGTATACCAGGCGAAGTAGTTAACATCTCGCCAGCACCCCTGCATACCACCACCATCAGCATAAGCACAGGAACGCGACCACAATCAACAGACCACCCACCACTGCACGGAACGCCACCAACTTAATCAGCACCACCACCACCACCACACTTCCGTATCTATTACCCATGAATGAGAAGCATTCCCTCTCTTCTACCCGTGCAGATAAAAGCCCCGTCCAGCACTGCCTACGGTACTTTGCTCCCTCTCCGCGATTTCCATCAGCGCGGAGCAAATTAATTCGCGTGCCGTTGATTGCGATGGGAAGAAGCTGTGGCTTCCGTGCCGCGGAGCGGGTTGAACAAGCCGTCAGAACCAGTCCAAGCAAGGAGCCTCCACGTCGTGTGGGGAATCCTCTGAACCTGTGCTGGGCCTCCCCAAAGTCGACACAATACACGCAGAGATAACAACAATGATCCCCCCCGTATAGCCTGAACAGGCTGTAGGGGCAAGTGCTGCTAGCGAGCACCTATGAAGGCCGGAACGGTACACGAGAGGGTGGGTGGCCAGCACCACGCCAGGCCGCCTTTGATTCCCCAGTGACGATGTTTACACACCGCACCAGGTACTCATTCGAGGCTGAGCCGACCTAGGGGAGGCCCAGGACCGGTTCACATAATCGTCGCTGGTGTTGGCCGTGAGCGGGAATAGAACTCTGGTATACTGGTTCGCAGCGCAGAGCACTAATCGCTACACCACACACCAACGCACACTCCATCACTTTACCAATTTTTGCACCGGGCCGATAATGTGTTCATGTTGTGAGTGAAAAGCCTTTCGAACAAGATTCCTGATGTAGCTATTTATTTCTGCACTTATGCATTTGCCGGCTGGTTATTTTATTTATTTGGAGATGGAGCTCACGCTGTTTTCCCCCTTATTAGTATCACGCCGCCGCACGCTCGCCTCACCGCGACCCCGTGATGATTAGAGTGGAGTGGAGATGGGGTGTGATATTCACATCGCGAACCAACTAAGTCGCGTGTGCGTGGTGGTGGTGGTGGTGATGGGGAGGCGGTGGTGCAGCGGTTAGCACGCTGCGCATACGAACCCGACAGGCCCGGGTGCGATTCACTGCCACCAACACCAGTGACGATTCTCTGAATCGGTCCTGGGCCTCCCCCAAGGTCGACTTGGCCTCAAATGAGTAGCTGGCGCAGTGGCGTGTAAACACCGGCAAAAGGAAGACAAAGGCGGCCGGGCGTGGTGCTGGCCACCCCTACTCCCTGTGTGCCGTGTCGTGATAGGCCACTGCAGTGCAAGCTCCTTAAACTCCACCGACTCTCTCTGTTGAAGCCCTCTCGTCGTGGCCAGCAGACCTCGGCATTGGCATCGAGCTTGTGAACATTCTGCGATCCGCTAGAATAGACCATGGGCAATGTTAGTCAAGGAGTAATGTTAGTTTATGAGTAATGTAAGTTTGTGAGTAATGTTAGTATTTGAGTAATGTTAGTATATGGGCAATGGTATTTTATGAGTAATGTTAGTATATGAGTAATGTTAGTCTATGAGTAATGTTAGTATAAGGGCAATGTTAGTCTATGAGTAATGTTAGTTTATGAGTAATGTTAGTTTATGAGTAATGTTAGTATTTGAGTAATGTTAGTATATGGGCAATGGTATTTTATGAGTAATGTTAGTCTATGAGTAATGTTAGTCTATGAGTAATGTTAGTCTATGAGTAATGTTAGTATTTGAGTAATGTTAGTATATGGGCAATGTTATTTTATGCGCAATGTTAGTCTATGGACAATATGAGTATATGGGCAATGTTAGTTTATGAGTAATGTTAATATATGAGCAATGTTAGTCGATGGGCAATGCTAGTATATGGACCATACACCTGTAAGTCTGCGCCCCTTCAACGGAGGAGGGGGATGAAAAGCACAAATTCCACGAACTCTCCTCTCTCTCTCTCTCTGCTAAAGTCCAGCAGCATCGGCATCAGACCTTGGACATTTTTCATCGAGCTCGTGAGCCAGCAGCCCGCTTGCTGAATGGAATATTCGCTGAAAAACACCCCCCAAGCCTCTCCTCTCCACCCTCCTCGCTCCCCCAATAAATCGGCGACTGCTGTTGCCGTGTCCCATTAAAATACGAGCGACTCAATGAGATCCGCACGACGTTCACTCGGACAATGCTCGCGACGCGAGGGGAGAGAAGGGAGAGGCGTTGCCGCTACTGCTGTGTGGTCTATATTAAGGTGTCCGAGCACGGGGGTGACAGCACCACCACCGGGTACGGTTACGGGGCAGCAGGGAGCAGAGGCGCAGGAGGGCAGGGGTGGGGAGAGGCATTGGAGTCCATGCCCTTGAATGTCCAGCGGCCAAAATTAGCGTCTAGAAAGAAAGAAGATAAACCGGCTGAGGTTGTTCGCCCGCTGCGTTACAGAATTCGAGGCCACTTTCACTCGACACACGTGCGGTGGAGACTGTGACACTGTACCCGACACACGTGCGGTGGAGACTGTGACACTGTACCCGACACACGTGCGGTGGAGACTGTGACACTGTACCCGACACACGTGCGGTGGAGACAGTGACACTGTACCCGACACACGTGCGGTGGAGACTGTGACACTGTACTCTACACACGTGCGGTGGAGACAGTGACACTGTACCCGACACACGTGCGGTGGAGACAGTGACACTGTACCCGACACACGTGCGGTGGAGACTGGGACACTGTACTCGACACACGTGCGGTGGAGACTGTGACACTGTACCCGACACACGTGCGGTGGAGACAGTGACACTGTACCCGACACACGTGCGATGGAGACAGTGACACTGTACCCGACACACGTGCGGTGGAGACTGTGACACTGTACCCGACACACGTGCGGTGGAGACAGTGACACTGTACCCGACACACGTGCGGTGGAGACTGTGACACTGTACCCTACACACGTGCGGTGGAGACAGTGACACTGTACCCGACACACGTGCGGTGGAGACAGTGACACTGTACCCGACACACGTGCGGTGGAGACTGCGACACTGTACTCGACACACGTGCGGTGGAGACTGTGACACTGTACCCGACACACGTGCGGTGGAGACAGTGACACTGTACCCGACACACGTGCGATGGAGACAGTGACA